GTGTGTGTATATAATACATTAAAAGAAACTGGATAGCGGAAAGGTAAGTAATTGTTAGCAAAAAGAAATGAAGTAAATAGATAGTTAACGAAAATGCAATGGGTGTAAAGGAATAAGAATGAAGCAAGAGGCGAATTTTATAGAAAAAAATGAAGAATAGAAAGGCAGAAAGGAAGTTGAAAGAGAAGGGAGAACAATAGAATAGAGAGAATACAATAATATTGTATACAATTTCAAAGTTAATTTATATAAAACAAATGTTCCAAGTATTTATTTATTTATTATGGACTTTTGCTAGGGTTTTATTAATTTATTTAATAATATATAAACACCCTCTTCCACACACCGATATGAGATAAATGGAATAACGCCAAAACATTTTTGTTTCAGATTTCTTACATATTTGGCGCAAATGCAATTGGAATTATTGTAACCGTATTAATAAGGAATTCAGTAATGTTGTGCCTTTGATTAGACGTACACACAAGTTGCACCTCCCTAAAAAAACAAGAAAAAAACATTTGTTGGTGCAAGGTCGTACGACCCCACCGAACTTTACTTTCTCAGGTTCGCCAAATGGACGTTTAAATCAATGAACTTGTTTTCAGTAGATAGTTATACTTGATGAAAAGAAGCACAACGCATGTTAACTTTATGCATCGTTTCAACACGTACACACAACAGATTTAAGGGAGCATCCGTAAAAGGGCTATACATATGGATCGTGTTCAGTACAACAGGTTAGGGATTTTTAAGTCTTTCTACTGTTCTTATACATATATATAGTATGTATGTACATATATATGTGTATATAATACATTAATACATATAATACTACAAAATATGTGATGCTTGAGACCAGGTGCCGTTTTCAGTAACGTATACTATATGCTCAGAATCTTAATATGCACAATTGTGAATGTCTTATGAGACCGAGTATTTTCATTGCTGGATCCAATAAGAACTGCAAACTGGGGAAAAAATTCATTTCCATACTATACTACCAGCGCCTCTTGCCACTTACTTATGCGAATATTCATGTATAATACTTATAAAATATAAGAAAATACAACTTGTATTACTCAATATATATATGTTTCTTCTGTCAAGCAGTATGTCATATCATATAATGAGATTCAAAAGTAAATGTGGTTCAGTAAACCAGCTGGTAAAAGCAGAAACTTGTAAAGTTTTATCTCGAGTCTTGTCTTTATCAATACGTATTGCTAAGATTTTCCTTTCTAAAAGTAAAATACAGAGTTGCATAAAGTATGTTTCAAGTAGTTGTGCTTCTATCTTTTTACTGTCCCACAAGCTTGAAATGCTGTAGTTATAGGGAGGCTTCCCCTGGACCGTTGAAGCCTAGTCGACCTCCAATCTCCCGGACTGCTTTGGTTTAACCCCCCCCCCCTGCAAAAAAAAAGGGTAGGAACGTCCCTGTAATGTGTATTACTTAGCAAACTAAGTTTTAAGCACTTACGTCAAGCCCCAGGGGAAGGGGGGACACGGCGGCAAGTATGAGTGCATGTAACTCTAAAAAGTAACTTTCGATACCAACGGTGGGCAGAGAATAGATAAACCATTGTAGCTTTGCGCTTAACAACAAACAAACTCACGAGAGAAAATTTGGGTAAAAAAATTGACGGTTAAGTTGAAGTAAGTACAGTCCTATAAACAATCAATATTGTACACAAAAAGACATGAGTTCATGTTGTGTTGGATATCATTAAACTCAGTAAGACTTTACTAATTTAGTTTTAATGAAACAAGTTTTGGAGTGATACTGTTGTTCACAAATGCGATTTCATAACTTACCACCAACTTTGTAAGTAACAGTTAGGTTTCATACTTCAAACTGCGAAGTTCAGATAAATCTCATCTGTTCATGCCCGATACTCCTGTGTTATTCCTGTTTGCTTGTTTTTTTCTCAAAAAAAAGGAAGGTTTGTGGACTCTTTAAGAATAATAACACACGCTTCTGAGATAATTGGGGATGATGTTATAGTATTAGTTTAAAACAACCCTCTCCTACCCCTAGTAATATATTCTTCATAAATGTTTCTCTACCACTGTCGTGACCTTTAGTGCGACATATTTTTAGAGTTGAACTAGATATTAAAACCTGTTGGACACGTTTACTCAGAGTGATTGATGCCATTTTTTTCTTATTTTTACGACTTAACGATGATCTAACATCTGATCAGAATATCAATCATAAATATCAAAACGTGTGAGAGAGAAAGAGATCACTATAGTTAAACCAGGGTTTGGAATATTGAAGAAGCCATAGTTTAACGATATCTAAGCCTACTTTTTTTATTCGGTTAGAGTACTTGATGTATCGTTTTTGCCTAAAATATTGATATTTATATGACACTAGTTTTCCTACAAATTAGACACGTTTTTTACTAAAAATTTTAAAGAAAACTGAACACCTTGTACTAAAATCCAACGTTACGCCTATTCACGAGTAACACCAACTCCATCGAACTAAGTCGGAGTTGAGCAAGTCATCATTCGCTCATATACAGAAGAGCCTGACACTAACCACTATATAGTTAAGAAAGTTAACAAAGAATTCACAAACAACAATTTATTTATATATGCATAATATCTGACCTACATTATAGCAAGACTAAATTTAATCTGTTACTAAATAGAGTCATGTGCTTCTTACATTGACCTCCATTCACATTATATTGTTCACTCGCTTTTGAAACGTCAAGTTAATGTTCAATCTAGTTCATTTATTTTTTTTTTTTACTTTGATAGCCATTAGTGTACGCATTTAATGTAATTATTCCATTTGCTAGTTGCCTCGTATTTTTGGTACGTATATTTGTGATGTCGCGCTAGCACCTTCTAATTCCTATCTTCCTTTAAGATTTGTCCCCCCGTAGGACAGCGGTAAATTTTCGGTTTTACAATGCTAGAATCAGGGGTCTGACTCCCCTCGGTAAACACAGCAGATAGCCCGATGTGGCTTTACTATAAGAAAACACACACATTTTAAGATCGCGGTTTGGGTTTGTCTTATTTAATTCTCCCGTTAAGATGTTATTTTCATGTTTACTTTTTTCTTTTATTCTCTTTAATCTTGAGTATCACATATTAATTTTACTTAATTTCTAAAGATGTTTTCAGCATGATTGTGCTAATGGACGTATGTGTAAAAACGAGAAAATTCCTACAAAGGAAAAAGTGTACACTACATTCTCTGATATGTTGACTAGCCAATTGGTAAGGCTCGTGTAACTTTATTTAGAATTGCTTCATATTCACATGAACGCACGATTTTCTACAATTGGTGAGATTTCGAGGTCAGGGTCTGTGACGTTTACAAAGGATAATTGCGTGGTTTGGACAATAAACAGGTCGTTTTGCTAAAATGATCTTCCGACGTTGTTGTTGTGCCAGAAACAATAACGTACAAGCTGAACATTTGAACAGCGAAAATCGCCCTTTTGTAAATTAAATTGGTTGCATGTATAAGAAACTGTTGATATTTTTAGATGCGCTACTTGTGAATAATTGAAGCTATATTCATTGTTTGGGGGGGGGGCATTTTTATCCTATTGTTGTAGTGATAAGGACTAGTTTACTGTGCTCATCATAATAATTGAGATATGGATTTTTGTAAAGCCTCTTTTACTATAATTTACCAAAAAAAAGACAAATTAAAGTCCTTTTTGCAGCACTATTAATCATACACTTGAGGATAAAGAGACCAGCCAAAGCTAACCAGAATATGAAATTCTTTTATTCTCCACAAACAACAGAAACATAAAAATAAATTTAACTGACTCAGCTCGTTGAAGCTCATTCTAAGTAAATGAAGTATATGACAAAGAGGTGAAAACAAATACATTTTTCACACATTTATTTTATTTCAATCATGAACTATACAGCGACTTTGAACGTTATTACACATTCTTATAATTTCATTTTTGCCCTGATTTAATTCCAATGGCACTGAAGTGGGAAACGTTTGATTAATTGTACACGTCTCGCTTTTGCATGGCTAAATAGGAAATTTATATACCCATAGAAATTTTGATTTTTTTTACTGAAATTTAGGCGACAATACAGTTTACGAGTTGAAATACTTTACTAAGCTTAGATAGATTTACATTTTTCTATAAACAACAAATTTAACTTTGTTATTCATTTTTATTGAAATTTGGTCTTATAAAATGTGGTTTTTTCAGTTATTTAGTTTTAGTCTGAACAACAGAAATGGTGTGATTTTATAGTGAATCGCGATGTTTTTTTATGACTTAGGACCAGGCATGATCTTGTAGTTAGAGTGCTTGGACTGTAAACACGGGATTCTTGGTTTGCGGTCCGTTGCCGCAAAATCGCATTTCACACTTTGGGGCCGTAGGTGCGGTATAAGAGTGACGGTCAAATTTCACTATTCGGTCAGACAAGAGTTGGCGGTGAGCGCTGTTGATTATTTTCATTCCTTCTAGTCAGGTTTCAGGATAGTCAATAGGCAGTTCGCGTTTCAAAAAAATTTTATACGGACCTTCAAGACATTTGCAGTTTTTGTGAGCTTTAAAAATCACATTCACATCACAAATGTTAGGATAGTATGTGAAGAAAAGCGCTGCGCACTAAACGTTATACACCAAGTTAAAAACTCTGAAATCAAAGCACGTTTATTATATCTCCCAAATAAACTATGTTGAAAGTTATTAATATCTTTTGTATATGCCTATTATTCTATGTGTTTGTCTGTGGGACAAGAAAAGGTGCATAATGGTAAAAGACGTTTCTATAGTTCTGTATCTTATTATAAGCAAGAAACTGGTAACTTCACACACACAAATGATTACCCCTACTCTTGTCTATAAGTTTTAAATTAGAGTCGACTAGGCGTAGATAGCCTTTTGTGTAACTTAGCACGAATATTTTGAAACAAAAACTATGATTATAACTAATTATACCTGTAATAAGACACAAGTATTAGGCCTATTATATTTTAACACTGCATTCTTTATTTATTCCTTTAAGAATTTCCAAGAATTAGAAGAGTGTATAATAACAGTATTCCAACCACACTGTTCACCATATCCACTGCCGACGAAGCGTTTCGCTCAATCCAGAACTCATCAGGCCGGCTGGGACACAACAAATAAAGGAGTAGTCAAAACATTATTTATATAAGCCATTTGTTACAAAAATAATTTTTATGGTGTTCACACTATATCAAAGACCTATGGCTTCCTACTTAATAACACTTGCCTTTACAATAAATTTATCTGGCATAATTATTAATGATCTTTTGATATAATTGTCTATCAGAAGAAAGTTAATGAAAATAAAGTGTTACTTTCTTTGTTGGTCTGTTTATGCAGTATTCTCTAGACGTTATTAAATAGGCTACATTCGTGGAAATAAACAAAAACCAAAGCGTTTCATCTCTTCAGATTTTCTTTAAAGAACACATGACTGAACTTTCTTTGTGGTCACCTTCTGTGTGTTAGTTCAGCTCGAATAGAAATCTTACTAAAACATTACTAGTATATTAGTTAAACAGGAAGTAAAAAGAACTTTGAAGTGAAGCTATTAATAATAAACTAACCACTGAAAACTGATGAAAGAAAATATTCATTAGAAAAGCTTCCACATACATGTTTGGGGGGGGGGGCAATAAAAGTAACATTAACTAAATTAACTAAACAAATTATATTAAATTAGGGTTTTGTTGTTGATTATATATCAGTAACGTACTTGTGTTAAACTACGTCGGCCTGTGGTTGTTTCTGCCCCAATAATTAGATAAATCGAGGAATTTGCATAAGCTATAGTAAAATGAATACATCAAATTGCTGGTAGATGGGTGAATCTGTTCAGCTAATTATAGCATATTGAAACCTCAATCCAAAACTCAGGAATGCGTTTTCTTCATAATGCATACTTATCAGTTTTACTTGCTATTTTCGAGGTAAGCCGCTCTGATGGTGCAAGACTACAGAAAAGATACAATCGGAGCCAGTGGCCTGAATCGTTCATCGCTCCACGTCGTTGCACACGACTAATTTGGCGCCAAATCAAAGCACTCTGGATCGTCATCTGTAGTTTCGAAGAACCAGGTGATCATCTGTTATACGAGAACAAATCGAGGACAGTAAATAATTTTTTGTAAGAAATGTGGTATATAAATATATATAAGGGATGGGCGTGTGACCGTACCAGTTCCATAGTAGACTTATCAGGATTTGAAGAAACGCGCTAGCTTTCTGGATCTCGTAACATAAGCTTCAGCATGAACCAGCTTAAAATTTTGGTAAGGCGTCCTCTGTTTCACGTACTACTTGTTGCTCTATACTATTAATTAGAATAAGATACAACAGTTTACTTTGATTTATGATTTTCATCTGAAGAATTAAAGCGCTTTCCTCTCATTAACTACACTAAACCTTGCATTATTTTGACGGAAAAATAAAAAAGAACCCGCTAAACAAGCGCGTAACCAAAATTTTTTAAGAAGAGAACTCACTTTCAATCAATGAATTTCTACATAATATACTATAGTTGAAAGGCAACTAACATACTATTTATATTTTACATTAAGAAACTTAATTTTAAAAGTTCTTGTATAATGCAAAATAGTTTTTGCTTTATTTTTAAAAGTATTTGTAAATGTACTTTAGTATACTTATTGTATTTTTTATATAATATCAAATTTAGATATGTAAATACATAACATATATAATTTTGAAAATGCTAAGCGTAATAATATAATAAATAAGAGTATTAGAATAAAAGTTTTATTTTTCTAAACCAATACTAAAGATATAGCTCTTCCCACCCCCCGTGGCTCATCGGTAAGTCTGAGGGCTTATAAAACTAAAAATTGAGTTTTGATACGTGCGGTGACCACAACACAGATAGCTCAATGAGTGAGTTTGCGCTTGACAATAAACATACCTAAAGATATAAGACTGTAATAAAATATTCTTATAACAATTACTCCAAGAAAGCCTCTGTATTTTTGAAAAGAAAGAGATAAGATTTTTGCTTTAAATATTATTTGACCATTATTATATAAATTACATAAAAATAATTTACTGAAAATAGATCAAAATAATTTAGCTTTACAATAAAATTTCCTAGGAACGACGGAAAAGCCCGAGCGATGTTCATGTTCCGGTCCCTTTTAGATATAGCTACAGCATTACTCTTTATACGCGTAGGTTGGATTTATGAGCCAAAACAAGGCTGTACATTTCATCCGTAGATGTGATAACAGTTACTGAGCGAATAACGAAAATAGGTGTATTTTTCATTGTTTTAAATTAGTTCGGATCAGAGATAAGTATCCAGCTACATAAATATTAATTTTCCTAGTATATATACTAAACTTTTAAGAGTTTAAGTCTAAGGCGAAAGCTTGAGCCCTCAAGCCTTTATTTTCGTTACGCTCATTCCGCCCGATGATAGAAACCGTTTCAGCATTATGCTAACATTGCGATGATATACTTTATTTTTATACGTCTTTCATCTTATGTTTACAAATGCTAGATTAAAACAAAGTTGGTTTGCTTTGATTTTCACCAAAAAAAGAGTAACATCTCTCTCTCTATATATATATATAATGTATAGGTAATATAAAATATGCAGCAAAGTACTGGATAAATGAAGAAAGTTTGGGGTTGACTGTAGGTATAAATGAGCTACCGTAGTTTCTAATGTGATTTGTAATATGATAAATTATGTAAGAATATGCTATGAATTCAGACGTTTTTTAGTGTGTTTTTCTTTTTTGCTGTTTTTATCTGTGACCTTACGAAACCGAATTTACCTTTGACGGTGCTCTTGTCGCTTTACTTCTAGAATTAAACAGATTTCTTGCATTTACGTTCACGTGGCTTTCATGCTTGTAATGTTGTTCTTAGCAAAGTTATAAATAACTTTTGTATTTTATTAAAACCAGAGCATTTCCGTGGTGATTTTTGTGTTGACGAGCATTGTAGGATCGTCCAAAACAGACGCTGAAAAAGAGGACAACATAGCAGCAGCTACTGGTTACGGCGGTGGCGGAGGCAACGGACTTGTAAGAACTCAATTTCACGAACAAGTACGTTTATATCAATTACTTATATTCTTTGATATGTTATTAACCTTCTATGAAATGCAATGTAATAGTATTTTTCATGTTTGTTCCTCATCCTAAGACAGTTTGGATTCAATTACAATAGGCATATAACATAATCAACCTCTCGCTTATAGAAATTATCTAAATTAATTTGTTGATATAACCACCATTTTGCCTAATTACACAAATAAACCCATTTATGAATGAAGATCCTAAAGGTTCACTAGACAAACATTAGAACTATAGCTTATTACATAAAACTGTAGAAAATATAACTCACAAGTATTTCTTCATTAATAAAGTGCCAACTTCATTGACTGTTTACTGATTACCGAAACGTCAATTTGTTCAGCCGATTCACGTCTGGCAAAACTAATACGATACTGGTGTTAACATATTGAAACTAACATAGGCTATGTCAAATACGCTTTATGCTGTTTATAGAAGCGTGAGAATTTCGTGGGTTAATACATTCGTTCTTTTCTGATATGCTATAGCAAGAGAATATTCTGTATTTTTTAAATAATCTGAAAATTTGTGAAATATATTTTTATCTCCAGAAATTGTTTGTTTTAGAGTGGATCAAAAATGAACGACACAAATATAATCTAACAGTTACGTTAGGCCTAATAAAAGAATTGCGCTAAAAATTAAATCAATAAATTAATAAACGAATAAATATCAATAAAGTAATACAATACACTTTATGAAATTATGGGCAATAAAATCATATTTATGAAGGTTAACGAATAATTTAAATGGTAAGATAATTAAGTTATACCTCAAGCCGTAATCCAGCAATACAATGTACCATAGCAACAATACATAAGGTGTTAAATGAACTCTGAAAACATTTAGAAATAAAAAATTATAATAACAATAGGTTATCATAAAACTTAATCTGCAGTGGATTAATATTATAGTTAAAGCCCTGTATGTGCCTGCAGAAACTTATAAAGTAAAAATGTACTATTGTGTTATTGAATAAATAATTTATCTAATTTTCTATAACTTGGCTTTCAACCATTTCTCCAAATCTGTATTCTTATATTCGTGGTATTGTTGTACAAAATAACATAATCAATTTTTTTACTCCTTTCTAGTTGTTTGAAGCCTTAAATTTAATGCACCTGAAGGGTGTTATCTGTTGAAGTAGTATTAACATTATGATGTGTTATTCATTGAAATATAAGCTTGTACAATGACAGTTCTAAGTTAGACGTATTTAAGATTATCCCAGTTACTTATGATATATGTATTGTGGTGTGGGCTAGGGTTGTGTAGACTTATCAAGCTTCAATTTCAAATACCTCAGTAGAAACTATCAATATGAAGATTGTGATGCTTGATAGAGATATCTACTTTCATTTTGGTCATCCACATAGGGTATTCAAGGACCTCATTCTTACCGTTTCGGCTACGATACTGCTGATCTTTACAATCCTCAAAGCCGCTACGAAGAACGAGATGGATACGGAAACGTCATAGGTTACTACAGTTACGTTGATCCTTACGGCAAGCTACAAATAGTAGAGTATCAGGCTCATCCCAAATTTGGCTTCCGTGCCAAAGGAAGTTTCGGGGTATTTCCACGAGGTGGACACTGAAGTAAAAACTATAATTAGGTATTGTTTCTTTGTTCGTAATTCAGAATTAGTGTTACTTGAGTGCTATATTTAATAATTGTCAAATTAATTAGACATTTTTCTTCAATGTCTTGCATAACTTGTAACGCCTTAAATTACCAGAAGTTTTTTTTATTAATACCTTATGAAATATTCATTGTTTTCCGACACAGATGCACACATATGGTACACGTATAAATTCCAAATGTGAAGCAAGATGTACCTCAAAAGTGTCATTTTTTTAGTGGGTATCAAGTGATAACTTAAAAAGAGTAAAATATAAACTAGTTTTGCGTCATGTAGTAATACGAGTGAGTGTTCAACTTGTGTGTTGTGCATTCAAAGACAAAATATGTGGTGCACTTTGTAAAACTGTTGTGGCAGTTTCTTGTTTTTTTTATAGATACGTCCTTAAAAAGTTTTATAAGGTTACACAAGAAGGACAAATTAATTTAAATTCAAATAAACGGGTGGGTTTTAGAAACTCAACTTGCGTAATATATGTATCTCATGTTGTTATGGTTTCTATTGTAGGGCAAGTTCTTTTAGATGATTCAATAAAAAGCATAATCAAAAGTACAGTCCGTTTGACGATAACAAACACATGTTATTAATTCATCTTGAAATTCAACGTTGAACATAACCAACGTTCATAAATAAACTGTATCTCACAGAAAGTCTACTCACTTGCTAATTTCCTATCTCTGTTCCTTATGGAAACATAAACTGAATAGGTACACCGCTGAACTAACAAATTGACATACAGCAACAAACAAAATGACTAAATCGTGCACTGATTACTCAGTAATAGACTAACCGACTCAGTAATTCAATCTATCTCAAGTCGAATTTATATACATCTAACATTTTATGTAAACTTTCAAAAATATTATTGTCATTAAGCCCACGCCCATCACGTAATATTTAACTTCTTTTTAGCTAAACAATTATACAAATTTTGAGAAATGTTTATATTAAAAACATAACCAGCAATACTTCTTCCGCTGAAATACGAAGTTCCTCGAACAGTTCTATTACGAAAAAAAAACAAAAAAAACAATTACACATAAAACTTATACTTCCATAATTAACAATAAAGTAATTCTTCACAATTAACAACATTAATATTCGTAAATTTAAACATTAGAATAATTAAACAATTGCCGAACTATATAAAACTTAAAATATAATCATGATTCTGGTTAACAAATCAAAGCCTTTCTTCATCCAGTTATCGTCCTTAAACTATCAGGTCACCAAATTATTTTAGTTGTTTTCTTTTCGTTGTGCTTACGGTAAGAAGATGGTATGATCCTGATATTTTATCATAGCATGCTGTCTTGTCACTGGAGAAATTCTTTTCAGATAAATAGTCGAGGGAATCCATTGGTGGTTCTATTCCTGGTGATACACTGGATGATATTTTGGCAGGAACATCATACTCTTCAAAAGATTGTCTTTATTTTGGCAAAGTATTCTCTGAAACTAACCAGTTGCTATTCTCTTTGGCTTCTGGATTCTGGCTGGTCCGGCGCACTTTAGGTTCGTTGTCTATTTTATTTTTCTGCTTCCAATCTTCTTGTTACTGGAATTTCAACTTCTCATGTTATAGTTGTCTAGCAGTGTACATATATTTTATTTTTTGTATTGTAAAACTATTTTAAAAGAGTCTAACCTAACATCTTTGTATCCACACGAAGTCAGTTCCTAATATGCACTGTTCTTTAATGTCAGTTGCCCACTCATGTTGCGCAGAAAAGCTCCTACCAGTGAGAGTGACTTCCATCTTTCTTCTTGCCAGAAGTTTCTGGACAGTTGCTGTTCACACCAATCTACCTTCCTGTTTCAGACAATTTGACACTTTGTTACCAAATCAGGTTGAATTATTATAGTCATAGAACTATTGTCAATCAACATGGTACAAGGCTTCCCGTCAATGAATCAGTTGATTCATGGACTGCTTTCTTTAAATAATGCACTTCTTATCTCAACTGGGGTAGATAGAGTACTTTCATCCTCAGAATATCGTCTCCTCGGTTTGTTATTAATGGTTGATTCATCACAGTATTGGATGTAATGCCAATATGTTCCACACTTATAAGAGTTTCCTTTTCCTGTCATCCTTTGGGAGCAGATATTATTTCCTAACGACTTGTTTCCAGTTGCTGGCCATATTTACTTTTAAGTTGCAGTGTAAACGTCTAATTAAACCTTTGAGGTCTTCTAGGCCACCATCAAAAGGAATTAATATTTCTACACTATTTGTTCTGATAAGCCCATAATTCGTGGATAGTATTTTAGTTTTTGTCTGAAATCTTAATTGATTCTAGTTCCACTGCCAACTGAACAATTTTCCTTTAAGATTTATACCTACATTTCTTTTAGTCTAATTTGCATATCATAATCTACTCAAATATTTTTAAATTAGTCACATGCCAATTAATACGTACATCATTTCACATAGAGCATCACGATAAGATAACTGGGCAAGTCCTTCCATGTCTTTAGTAAGTTTGACTAAGATTTCGTCCCTCTTTCTTACTTTACTCCTACACTTCGCTTTAGATGTAAGACTCCAAATCTATCTGATAACACAGACACCAATACCTGATAGTTGTTATGGCTTTCTCTTGGAAGCCTCTTAATATTGTTAAAACTGATCCTTTTAAATAAACAGCATGACGAATTGCTTGTTTTTCACTGTCCCCTCCATTCAATTAAGAAATTATATCAAAATGCGCATGCCTGTCTATTTCTCTATTAGGCGATGTGTTGAACTGGCCTGCTAAATTTTGTAACTTAATAAGGTAGTCCAGGAAGGTCCTGCACTTATATGTGGCATGCAGTGGTAACAGCTGAAGGCTAGATGAACTATCGTATTCCATGTTCTATAGTGAATGGTGTTTGATGTTGGAAGTTTTCAGTGGATGCTAAGAGATGTGGCTTGTTTGATCCTTTCAGTTGCCAATACAACAGTTTCCAGATGTTTTATGCCAGTATTGATATTTTCTACTTCATTGATGTTTTTGTAATAATCTTTCTGTACATTCCCGACAGCTTCCTCGAACTTGCCTTCGATCAAACTGATATTGTTATTAATTCTTCTGTAAATATCTTATATATCATTCTTTATTCTTCTCTTAACTTCCAACCTCTTTCTTCTTGACCTCCTTTTAACTGCATATCTCTTTTTCTTCATTTTCTGTTTATTTCCCCTTGATCTTATTTTAACTTTATGTTTATTTCTGCATGTTCTTGTCCTATTTTAGTGTCTCTTTCGTCCCTTGACTGTTGTATCATTTCCATCAAATTGTCGATCGTGCTTCGAGCATGTTTGTCGTTTTGAAGTTTATTCTGGATTTTTTTAAATAAAATAATCCCACCTTTGACAATATTAATGTAATGGTTTTATTGTTGGGCAGTTTCTTTTGAATTATTCAGTAAAAATAATCACGAAAAGTCTAGTACACGTAACTAGAAAAAAATGTTTTATTCTTTTTCTTCAACTTCAAGTTCCATACTTAGGATAACCATAGACCTAACTTCACAAGTAAACAACTTCTGACAGAAATTCTACATACTTGCTGTATTTTTTGAACTACTAAAGATGAAGACATGTAATAAAATGCATGTTGGCCTTAAAACTGAAGTTTTATTCTATTATCCAGTTTTGGCCGATACGAAGATCCAAGATTTTGTCCACAGATTGTGTCAAAAAGTTACTTTTCAGAAAGAAGCGTAAACAATTCTATGGACGTGAAATTTAAGCCTGTTGCTCTTAATAACAACAACTGATGCCCGGGTAACATCAAACAATGCCACTGAGCGACGGCATAAGCACTTCATTGACACGATATGTATGTTCTAAGAGGCGCAACTGACGACTCAGTGTAGGTAAAGGCACTGCTGTCTGAGTAACTGAATCACTACACTCACGTAACTGGACATCTTGGAGCACTCTTTCCTCCCAGAGTTTGAAGCTAATAGTGTGTTATCGGGTCATGAATCCGGATGTATACCATGGATTCTTATACGTTTTGGGAAACTTTGTAATGAAAATAGTAAAACTGATTATTTTCCTATTATGTTTATAATATATTGAAAAATGGCAAGGGTAGACACTTCTGTTTACCGGTTTGTGTTTTATGGCTGTTGAAATAAGTAAAACGAAAATAATATTATATTTACATGATTTTCTTTGACACATAGCATAGCCCTGTAAAAAATAGTTATGTTGCAGTTTGTAATGAAAATGCAATTAATGTACTTTCACAAATCATTTCTGTTTGCAATTCAGGCACTAATGTGTTTTAGCAATATATACATGTATATATAGTACAATAAAGCATGATCTTCACATACGTATTTAGTGTTAAATATTCTACTGAGATTTGCGTTGCTTCAGCAAATGTGTTGGGCAATATATATATAAATATATATTTAATGTTTTACATGCCTTTATTTAATGTTTGAATATTATACCGAAATTTGTGTTTCTTCATTTATGAAGCTATTTAAGAAAACTCATAGATAAAATAAAACATAATGAGGTATTTACACACACACGTAGGCTGTGAACACGTACCATGAAGGTATTTACAGTTATTTCGCACACCTAGGTTGTGAACACATGTAATGACACTTGCATCGTACACAAAAAGAGATCGCAGAATCCAAGCAAGACTCAAGCTATAATGTTCCGTAGAAGCTTCAACAAAAATACAAAAAACTTAAGAACGTAAACCTAAAACTCTACAACTCCCCTATCACCCTGTCATTGTCAATCAAATTCCAGGCATGACACTTAACCACAACCTCACGTGGCACTCACACATAAAAGAAATCTACAAAAAACTACAAATAAGAGTAGCATACCTAAAACAAATAAGTCATCATATATACGGTTGCAACTCACAAACCATACTTCACATTTACAAAACAATCATTAGACCCCTCATGGAATAAGGTTGTATAATCATCGGTAAAATGAAATAATTCCA